CTTGCACTCCCGCCGGCCTTGCAGGTCCACCGCCGGGCCCCTCATGGGGCTCGGCAGTGGAGCTGCAAGGCTGGTGGCAGCAGCCGGGACCGTTGGGGGCCGGGTGTGTGGCCTTATGACACATTTCCGGTGATGTCAGGGGGTGTGGCATATGTTAATGAGTTATGCTAATGAGTTCCCCTAGCTCTTTTTCTACGAAACGACCCCTGGGGAGGCTGCAGAGATTGTGGACTATTCAGTCGGGAGAAGAGGAGGCTGAGGGGGGACAGGGTGGCTCTCTTGAAGTATCTGAAGGGCTGTGTCTCTTAGAGGAGGGCAGGGGAGCCGTTCCTGTGGGCAGCAGAGGAGAGGACTCCCAAGAAGGGGGTTAAATGAAGGGCGGGAAGGCACCAGCTGGATATTAGGGGAAACACTTTTTGACAGTCAGAGGCCTGGGTCCCATGGGCCAGGTAATGGGGGGGAGGGGGCGTGGCTGTTCGCCCCGGAGCAAAATAAAGCACGGTAGCCCGATCACACGGTCCCCCGAGGCTTCGCGCTTAGGCTGTTAGCTGGCGATCACACGGCAATGCTGCAGCGTGGCAAAGAAGCGGTACGGCAAGCATTTTGCGTTTGTGCACACGCACAGTTCCGCAGAGCAGCACTGCTTTCAGTTATGTGTTTGCGCGCATGCGCTTACGAAAAACATCCGGTTTGCGATGGGACGTGGACAGGCGCCGGATGCCACGGGATACTAGCGCTCCCGCAATCAGATGCCCGTCCCTGCCCCGTGTTTTCCGGATACTAGTGCACTTTCCGCGGTATTTTTTTACTGTGCATCTTTGGCGGGACGCCACGGGTTGACCACAGCCGCGCTACGTTTCCAAGATGTTGCAGTGTGATTGCGCACTGAAAATCCACTTGACATTCGTACCTTTAGCGCAGCAAATCCTCCTTGTGACCGGGCCCAGAGTTGTGCAGCAGTGGAACCAGCTGCCTAGGGAGGTATGGTGAGCTTCCCCTCCTCACTGGCCATCTTTAAGCAGCAGCTGGACAAACCCTTGTCAGGGATACACTAGGCCAGGGGTGTCAAACATGCAGCCCAGGGGCCAGATATGCTTCTTTCTCCAGTTCTGCTGCTGCTGCGTCAGCGTAGGTTTGCAGCTTACAGATACACACACCCGAACAGCACACTCAAGACTGCCAACAGCACAGACATATCGATGCAGTAATTCAGAGCAAGTGGTGGCAGTTATAAGACACTGTTAAATAAACAAAGTATTGCAAGAGTGCTCATGTTTTAAGGTAAAGGTAAAGGTTCCCTTGCTGGAAAGCCAGTCGAGTCCGACTCTAGGGTTGCGGTGCTCATCTCCGTTTCAAAGCCGAAGAGCCAGCGCTGTCCGAAGACGTTTCCGTGGTCATGTGGCCGGCATGACTAAACACCAAGGCGCACAGAACGCTGTTACCTTCCCACCGAAGTGGTACCTATTTCTCTACTTGCAATTTCTTGCTTTCGAACTGCTAGGTTGGCAGGAGCTGGAACTAGAGACGGGAGCTCACTCCGTCATGTGGCAACTCAGGTCTCGAACTGCTGAACTACTGACCTTCCACAGCCTGCAGTTCAGCGTCTTAACTACTTGAGCCACCGCATGTTTTAAAGTAAAAATCCCCTTTGCGTTTGTGTCCTTTATAAAGTTTATATCTCTGCTACCTGGCATTACGTTCTATGGCACATGTGGCCCGGCCCGACAAGGTCTCGTTTATGTCAGATCCGGCCCTCGTAACCAATGAGTTCGACGCCCCTGATCTAGACTGATCTTGCATTGAGCAGGGGGGGGGGGGTTGGACTGGATGGCCTCCATGGCCCCTTCCAACTCTGTAATTCTATGACCAAGGTACTTTCAAATGGGTTACCTTACTGCTGAATCAGTGGATGTCAGCTTTTGAGTGACACAAGGGTTCTTCAGCAGCAGAGAAAGGAAGCAGCTGAGCGCTGCCTCTTCCATTGGACCAGTGTTTGCTTACAAGATTAATTGAGTAATGGATAGGGTTGCCAACCCTGGTTTGGGGAATCCCTGGAGATTTGGGGGGTGGAGCCTGGGGTGGGCAGGTTTGGAAAGAGACCACAGCGAGGTGTCATAAGAACATCAGAAGAGCCCTGCTGGATCAGGCCGATGAGGGTCCATCCAGTCCAGCCTCCTGCCTCACACAGGGGCCAGCCAGTTCCTCTGGAGGGCCAACAACAGGGCAGAGAGGCCGAGGCCTTCATGAGAACATCAGAAGAGCCCTGCTGGATCAGACCAGTGAGGGTCTATCTAGTCCAGCATCCTGTCTCACACAGTGGCCAACCAGTTCCTCTGGAGGGCCAGCAACAGGGCAGAGAGGCCGAGGCCTTCCCCTCATTAAGAACGTAAGAACAGCCCTGCTGGGTCAGACCAGGGAGGGTCCCTCTAGTCCAGCCTCCCGTCTCTCACAGGGGCCAACAATGGGGCAGAGAGGCCGAGGCCTTCCCCTATGTTGACTCTTGGCTCTGGGATTCAGAGGATTGGGGGCTCTTAATGTGGAGGTTCCCTTCTGTCACCATGGCTAGTAGCCTTTTATAGACTTATCCTCTATGAATCTGTCTAATCTCCTTTTAAAGTTGTTTATTCCTGTGGCCGTCACTGCATCCTCTGGCAGCGAATCCCACATTTTAATCACTCTCTGCATAAAGCAGTATTTCCTTTCGTCCATCCAGAACCTACTGCCCATCAGCTTCACTGGATGCCTTTGAGTTCTAGTTTTTTGGGAGAGGGAGAAAAAATTTCTCTTTGTCAACTGTCTCCCCCCCCCCCCACGCATACTTTCATATCTGCCCTAGACTTCATCCTGCAAAGCTGCCATTTCCTCCAGGGGAACTGATCTCCGTCATATGGAGATCAGTTATATTTCCAGGATCACTTGAAATTCTGGGACATCTCCAGGCCCCATCTGGGGGTTGGCAACTGTAGCTTGAACTCAAATCTGGACTTAGCTGTGAATGCACAGCCTTCAGCAAGGGATGGCCTTTCAGCACAGGCCCGCTATGTCTCATGGGAAGTGCCTTCTGTCTGTCGGGTGCCAATTACTCCCTTGTAAGCCGCCCTGAGCCCGCTCAGCAGTGTACCATGCCGAGGCCCCTCCCCTCCCCAAGCCCCACCCTCTCCTGGATCCGCCCCCAAAGTCTCCAGGTATTTCCCAACCCAGAGTTGGCAACCATATCTCAGGTCCTGAATCCCACACTCCCGACGCGCCAAACCACACTGTCTCAGTGCCGTGGCTAGCTGGATTTCTAGCGGTAGAGCTGTTCCTGCCGGGGTTGCCAAGTCCAGCTTGGGACATTTCTGGAGACTTGGGGTGCAGTTTGGGGAGGAGTTTGGGCCTTGCGTGACTCCATAGAGGCTGACCCTCTGAAGCCGCCATTTTCTCTGGGGGGACCAGTCTCTGTGCCCTGGAGATTAGGGATCCTTAAAGGAGAACTTCAGGCCTCCCCTGGAGGTTGGTAACCCAACGCCCCTCAGCCCGGTCCTTCTGAAAGAACTCTCATGTCTAATGGCGCTAGGACAATGGTTTTCTCCCCACCCCCACCAGCCGTGCTCCCTCTAAGCTGTGGAGTCTTGTGAGCAAGAATTCTACTTTGTGAGTTACTGGCATGAAAGTTGTGAGCGAGCAACTTGGCTACTGCATAAATTAAGTTTGTTCCGGAGACTTCTTTCCTGAGCTGAGACAAAACTGTGTGAGCCGGAGGCTAAAAAGCGGGGAGCTAGCTCACACCTACTCAGCTTAGAGGGAACACCGTTCAGGAGCCGTCCTCTCTGAGCGAAGGCAAAAATGTGTGAGCCGGAGGCTAAAAAACGGGGAGCTAGCTCACACTAACTCAGCTTAGAGGGAACACTGCTCTGGAGCCATTCTTCCTGAGCTGAGACAAGAACGTGTGAGCCGGAGGCCAAAGAACTGTGAGCCAGCTCACACTAACTCAGCTTAGAGGGTACACCGTTCAAGAGCCATCCCCTCTGAGCTAAGGCAAAAAGGTGTGAGCCGGAGGCTAAAAAACGGGGAGCTAGCTCACACTAACTCAGCTTAGGGGGAACACTGCCCACCAGTCTATTTTGCGCTCCTCTGCCCAGGATGGCGCAGTATCCTGCAAGATGGAAGACTGCCCCCCAGCTGTGTGCCAGCACCCCGTCGTCCCAGAGAGGAAATGCTGCCCCGAGTGTGGGGACTGCCTGTACAAGGGCCACCACCTGACCAACGGGCAGAGCTACCTGGACGACTCGTGCATCCAGTGTGCTTGCAAGGTGAGGTTGGGGCGAAGCCCGATCCGGCAGGGGGGAGGGGAAGGGCGTGAGTGCTGGGAGCAGCTTGCGGAAAACGAGGGTGTCTCCAGGGTCGTGTACTACCCCGGATGGTGGACCGTTGTCCCAAAACGACAACGCGACTTGTACGTAGTACCCCTAGGAGAGTTCCAAGCACTTCACTGGTGCTTCAGAGCCAGTTTGGTGTAGTGGTTAGGGTTTGATTCCCCACTCCTCCGCATGCAGCCAGCTGGGTGACCTTGGGCCAGTCACAAGTTCTTTCAGAGCTGTTCTCTCAAGGGCAGTTCTCAGGAGAACTCTCTCAGCCCCACCTACCTCACAGGGTGTCTGTTGTGGGGAGGGGAAGGGAAAGGAGATTGTAAGCTGTTCTGAGACTCCTTCAGGTACTGAAGGGCAGGGTATAAATCCAATCTTCTCTTCCTCCCCTTCTTCTTCTTCTTCTTCTCCTCCTCCTCCTCCTCCTTCGTAGATGATTCTGCTTGCCACAGGATCATAAACCCCTAATTGATAACATCTCATGTTTTATTAGGAGCTGCGGTGGCTCAAGTGGTTCAGACGCTGAACTGCAGGCTGTGGAAGGTCAGTAGTTCAGCGGTTCAAGACCCGAGTGTGCCGCAAGACAGGGTGAGCTCCTGTCTCTAGTTCCAGCTCCTGCCAACCTAGCAGTTCGAAAGCAAGAAATTGCAAGTAGATAAATAGGGACCACTTCAGTGGGAAGGTAACAGCGTTCCGGGCACCTTTGTGTATAGTCATGCCGGCCACATGACCACGGAAACGTCTTCGGACAGCGCTGGCTCTTCGGCTTTGAAACGGAGATGAGCACCGCAACCCTAGAGTCGGATTCGACTGGCTTTCGCGCAAGGGAACCTTTACCTTTACCTTTACCATGTTTTATTAGGCCATTATGTTCCTATGGTAAACAGACTAAACTGTGTTCGAGCACCGGAACTCCGTTGCAATGAAGCACACTGTGGACTTCTTTACTTCTTCGCTCTGCCATTCAAAAGTCTGTCTTTGTAGGGGCAAATATCTGGACCTCTCTAGAACATAGAGACCCTGACCTGGTTAGGCCAGGGTAGCCCAATCCCGTCAGATCTTGGAAGCTAAGCGAGGTTGGCCCTAGCTAGTATTGGATGGGAGACCTCCAAGGAATACCAGGCTCGTGACGTGGAGGCAGGCACCTCTGAACGTCTCTTGGCTTGAAAGCCTTACAGAGTAACCATAGGTCGGCTGCGACTTGACAATAATTTCTACCACCACCAAAACATAGACAGTAGCACGAAGAGCTCAGTACTAGTCCAACTGTTCAGAGTTCCAAAGCCAGGCAGGATTGGCCCTGGAAAGTGTGTGGATAGGAGATCACCAAAGACGTTCAGGGTTGCTACGCAGACCCAAGCAATGTCAAACCACCTCTGTTCATCTCTTGCCTTGAAAACCCCTTGGGGGGGGGGGTCATCGTAAATCAGTTGCATCTTGAAAGCACTTAATTGTGATTAAAGCACTTGGTTTTGTAACCCCATACACTCAAACGGTATTCTCGCATTGCCAGCGAGGGTTACGGAAGTTTTCCTGGCCCCACTGCTGGACCTCCTGGTGGCACCTGGTATTTTTGGCCACTGTGTGACACAGAATGTTGGACCGGATGGGCCACTGGCCTGATCCAACATTTGGCTTCTCTTATGTTCTTATGACGAAGGCCGCCCAGGAACTCAGCAGCTGAGTTTTGAATTGTAGCCTTCCTGTTTGGAAAGATCTGTGGGAAGTGCCCCTTTTGCAACAGGTTTCTTTGCTGGCCATTCATCGGCCCTTCCCGGAATGGCTCTGTCCAGCCTTCCTTTGATGGATGCTATGCAAATTAAAATACCTCTGGGTTGAGGTAGACATGTGCCCACGCTGGAGCACCTAACTGTATTACCCGCAGCATATGATAGGGCTGCCAAGTGGGGGCGGGGGGCGGGGAAACCCCCGCTTTGGAGGCCCGATTTCCGCCGCGGCAGAATCAGGCCCCGGGGGGAACTCCGCCCACCGAAGCTGCGTCACCAGAGGTGACGCATGATGTAGAACACATTGGGGTCCCCCCCGACCATCTGGGCCACGCCCCCAACGTGCTCTACTGTTGCCCCCCCCCCAAGCACCAGGAAGACAGAGCATCCCTTGCCCCAGACATAAGAACATAAGAGAAGCCAATGTTGGATCAGGCCAATGGCCCCTCCAGTCCAACACTCTGTCACACAGTGGCCAAAAATACCGGGTGCCATCAGGAGGTCCACCAGCTGGGCCAGAGCTCCAGAAACCCTCCCACTGTGCCCCCCCAAGCACCGAGAATACAGAGTACCACTGCCCCAGACAGAGTGTTCCATCTATTCCTTGTGGCTAATAGCCACTGATGAACGTCTGTTCCATATAAGAACATAAGAGAAGCCATGTTGGATCAGGTCAATGGCCCATCCAGTCTGACACTCTGTGTCACACAGTGGCCCAAACCCAGGTGTCACCAGGAGGTCCACCAGTGGGGCCAGAACCAGTGCTCCCTCTAAGCTGAGGTAGTGTGAGCTAGCTCACAGTTTTTTAGCCTCCGGCTCACACATTTTTGTCTTCGCTCAGGAAGGAGGGCTCCAGAGCAAACTGATTTATGCAGTAGCCAAACTGCTTGCTCACAGCTTTAATGCCAGCAGCTGACAAAGTAGGATTTTTGCACACAAGACTCCGCAGCTTAGAGGGAGCGTTGGCCAGAACCCCAGAAGACTCCCCCACACGGTTGCCCCCCCCCAGCACCAAGAAGACAGAGCATCGCTGTTCCCTCAATCCCTTGTGGCTAATAGCCACTGATGGACCTCTGTTCCATATGTTCATCCAGTGTCGACTGGGAGGTGTCTATAAGAACATATTTTACTTTATTTAAGAGCCAGCTTTACTTTATACATCTAAGTTGTCCACATACCATTTTTTCCTCATGTCTTATCGGTCAAGTCAAAAATTGAAGAAGCAGGGGATTCTGTTTACCTCACGTATAAGTACAGCCTTGGTCTATCAAGGAGCAGAGGTTACACGCTACCAATCCTTTATTGTAAAGCTTTTTGTCCTTCTTTTTGTTTGATTGTGGGAGGTTGGGCTCAGTGTTTCCTCTAAGCTGAGTTAGTGTGAGCTAGCTCACAGTTCTTTAGCCTCCGGCTCAGACATTTTTGTCTTGGCTCAGGAAGGAGGGCTCCAGAGCAAACTAATTCATTCAGCAGCCAAATCACCTGCTCGCAACTTTAACACCGGTAGCTCACAAAGTTGAATTTTTGCTCACAGAACTCGACAGCTTAGAGGGAACATTGGTTGGGTTGTAAACAATCTATAGAGCCAGAATGGGGGACTGGATATTCTTCAGACCAGAAGCCAGTTGCTTCAGAGCTTCCCCCCCCCTGTCTCTCTCACCCCATAGCTGCCACACATGGTATTTCAGCTTGCTCTCACCTGCTCCTGGGTGTTGTGCAACACAGCTATGGGGGCAGGTCTTGTGAACCACATAGCATGGGTCAGGTTGGCGTGTTGAAACACTGCTCCATCAGGCATCCCTAATCCCTGGAACAAGAGATGCATTTTTCCAGACAGCACAGTGGGTTGTTACTTTATTTTTAACATGCAAGGATGTCTGCGCAGCTGATGTGCATTGATTGCAGGGAACCCAGATGTCCGTCACCTTTTTCCAAGCAATGAAGCCACAGCGGTTAGTCACTCTCAAAACATGATTCCTCCCCCCACACTCTAACTCCAGTGCCTTGTAATTGCCAATATTGTTTGAAGTGGAGTTATGTAGGGTTCCCCAACCTGGTGCCCCTGGGCCACCACGGTGCCTGCTAGCACCTTTCCTGGAGCCAACCAATTGCTTCTAGAAAGTGGGCGGGACCAGCTGAGGCTTTTTGCCCAGCAAGGGTTCTGACTGGCCGTTGGAGATGGGACCGGCTGTGCCGATTTTTAAAAATATTGCATGGGCCGCACAAGGCTCTTCAGTGTGGCTGAAGGTAAGTAGTGGCAACCATTTTGTGGATGGCTCGGTTTCCTATGGCAGCAACCTGGCCCCACTGATGGACCTCCTGATGGCACCTGATATGTTTGGCCACTGTGTGACAGAGTGTTGGACTAGAAGGGCCATTGGCCTGATCCAACATGGGCTTCTCTCATGTTCTAATGTTCTTATGAATTGGATCAATCTATGGAGCAAAGGTCCCTCAGTGAGCTCTCAGGCTGGGGCAAGGGATGCTCTGTATTCTTGGTGCTTGGGGGGGGGGACAACAGTGGGAGGGCTTCTAGTGTCCTGGCCCCACTGATGGACCTCCTGAGGGCACCTGGTATTTCTGGCCACTGTGTGACACAGAGTGTTGGACTAGATGGGCCATTGGCCTGATCCAACGTTGGCTTCTCTTATCTTCTTGTGTTCTTATGTGTCTGCATCCACCATACTGTGTCAGAATTCTACCCACAGGCTCAAAAGGTTTGGGGACCCAAGCCGTGTTCAATCGTACGTGTGAGATAAAATAATTACCGGTGAGCACTTGCCCCTGCCCCATAGCCAAGGTGGAGACCATGGGATATGTTTTTTTCGTTGCCCCCTCTATAAACAAATTCGGGATAAGGCAGTTTTTCCCCTTGTAGACAGAACTGTGATAGGGACGGACAAGACACGTTTAGATAAATTATTAACAGACAAAATTTCAGTTATTACTAAGCTAACGGCTAGATTTTGTGCCCAGGCGATTAAAGTGCACAGTAAATTTCAGTCCTGCTCCTTTGAGCCTTGACTTAGTTTCCTTCAGGAGGTCTATTCTACAGCTCTTGTTCCTCTTAAATTCGTTGGTTAAAAAACGGTCACCTAATGCTGCTTTCTCACATATTTTATAATCTATTTTTCTTTTCTTGATGTAATTTTATTTAGTTTTATGTTACATTTTCTGTCTCTATGTTTTAACTGGAGTTTTTAAGTTGTATATTTGTATACCAGAACAGTGTCCCTATTTCTCAACTGGATCTGGTTGTCCCTAGACATGCACAATCTCATGTCATTTTTAGCTCTAAACCTGCTGGTCATATCTCTTCTCTAATTATCCTAGGCTGGCACCGTGCAGTGCCAAGCTGCCAAGTGCCCGGAGTTGGCATGCCGGGAGCGTCACGTGCCACCTGGGGAGTGCTGCCCAGTTTGCCGCCCAGGTAAGAGCGGGGTTAATGTATAACCAGGGCAGGGATGGGAACTCTGACTGCGAGGCCTGGCTCAAGACACTGCAAGGCCAGAGAGGCTGGATGCTCCCTCTAAGCTGCGGAGTCTTGTGAGCAAAAAATTCCACTTTGTGAGCTCCTGGCATTAAAGTGGTGAGCAAGTGATTGGGCTACTGCATCAATTACTTTGCTCTGGAGCCCTCCTCCCTGAGCGAAGACAAGAATGTGTGAGCCAGAGGCTAAAAAACAGTGAGCTAGCTCACACTAACTCAGCTTAGAGGGAACACTGGTCTCAATGCTCCTTCTAAGCGGTGGAGTCTTATGAGCAAAAAATTCTACTTTGTGAGCTCCTGGCATTAAAGGGGTGAGCGAGCGATTGGGCTACTGCATGAATTAGCTTGCTCTGGAGCCCTCCTTCCTGAGCGGAGACAAAAATGTGTACAAAACTGTGGGCTAGCTCACACTAACTCAGCTTAGGGGGAACCCTGCTGGAGAGTGGGGCCCACACAACACAGTCAAACGTTGGCCTTGTGGAGTTGAGTGAGGTTCACTTTTAAGAAGGAAGTACGCAGAGGACTGAGGCGTCTTCTGTTCTTGGACTCCTGTGCTGCTGGCAGAAATTGAAGTACCTTCATTTATGCTGGACTCTGACCAAGGAAGCTCAGCGGGGTCAGCCTTGGTTGCCGCTTGGATGGGAGGCCATCAAGAGAGTCCAGGGTTATCAGCGGAAGAAATAGTAAAAGATATGGAGACTGTCTATAGGGCATACTCCAATTATATATAAAAAAAATAGCCTGCCTGGAGAGATTGTGGTAAGATTTGCAAGAAGACAGACCAGAGATGCCATATTAAAAGCGACTTCAGCAACCCCACTGAAACTGGGAAATACAATTATTAAGACTTTAAAGGACATTCCATTTGAAATTCGTCAAAAAAGGAAAGCTTACAAGGATTTAATTTCTTTTCTTCAAACCAACGGAATTCAGTACAGGTGGGGGACCCCCGAGGGTGTCATCATTAAAATCAACGATAAAAGAGAGAAGATTGATTCCATTTTTAAAGCCAAGGAATTCTTGAGGCGCCAGCTGGGAACGGGGGAAGAATCTAAGGAGGAAGAAACCAAGTCAAGTGACTCAGCAACCTCTGGATCGGACGAAGACTCTGCGGCTGAAGCGGCTATGGGTGCGACGAACACTGTGTATGATTTTAGAGACAGAAAGCCAAAGTAAGGGCAGAAGGACTCTGAAAATTGCTCTTTGATGAAATGAAGATGCTCAGAAAGTCTTCTCAAGATAACTAATTTACTAACATAGAAGCAGTGCAAAGCAAGAACTCTACAAGTATATTGCCTTACTAACAAATGTAATACTAACATTTAGTTTAACTGGGTTATGATCTCTCACTCTTGGGTTTTTAGTTAGTGTGGGTATCTTTCCTTTATCCATGGATGTAGTCCCTTCCCTTTTTTTTTCTTTGAAGTTTTGTAGTCTATTGAAAAACAATAAAAATACCCCTTCGGGGGTTTCAAAAAAAAAAGAGAGAGAGAGAGAGAGTCCAGGGTTGCTACGCAGAGGCAGGCAATAGGAAACCCACCTTTGAAGAAGTGAGCCGTGACTCACGAAAGCTCCTCCCCTGCCACAAATGTTGTTAGTCTTCAAGGTGCTCCCGGACTCTTGCTCTTTTCTAAACCACCGCTGTTCGTCTCTTGCCCTGAAAACCCTACGGGGTCGCCATAAGTCATCTGCAACTTGATGGCATTTCCCGTCATCTAAGCAGTTCATTGTCCTGACCTGGCTGGTCCAGGCTTACCCGATCTTGTCAGATCTCAGAAGCTAAGCATGGTTGGCCCTGGTGAGTACTTGGATGGGAGACCACCAGTGTCCCCTCTAAGCTGAGTGAGTGTGAGCCTAGCTCACAGTTTTTTAGCCTCCGGCTCACACATTTTTGTCTTCGCTCGGGAAGGAGGGCTCCAGAGCAAGCTACTTTATGCAGCAGCCCAATCGCCGGCTCACAACTTTAATGCCCGTAGCTCACAAAGTAGAATCTTTGCTCACGAGACTCCACAGCTTGGAGGGAACATTAGAGACCACCATGAAAGGCCAGAGGTGCCCCCCCCCCCAAATTCTGACACTAGGATGAACACAAGGAAAGGAGGAAAGTTCCCAGGTGATGCTTTGCCTCTTTTTGTACAGGTTGTGAGTATGAAGGGCAGCAATACCAAGAGGGAGAAGTCTTTGTGGCCATCTCCAACCCTTGTATGAATTGCTCCTGTCTGGTGAGTACAGAGACCAGGGTTGCAGCAAAGGGTTCAGGATTCGCACAGTGCCAGGGCTTGGCATCGTGGGTGGGCAGGGGTGGAGTGACTCACCAGCTTTAGTTGACCTAGATTTCAGTCCAGTAGCATCGTAAAGTCCAACAAGATTGGGGGGGAGGGGTATCAGCTCTCGAGAGTCACAGCTCCCTGCATAAGAACGTGAGAAAAGCCATGTTGGATCAGGCCGGTGGCCCCTCCAGTCCAACACTCTGTGTCACACAGTGGCCAAAAACACCAGGTGCCACCAGGAGGTCCAGCAGTGGGGCCAGAACTCCAGAAACCCTCCCACTGTTGCCCCCCCAAAAAATATAGAGCATCACTGCCCCAGACAGAGTGTTCCATTCCATCTATATCTTGTGCCTAACAGCCACTAAGCATGTAAGAGAAGCCATGTTGCATCAGGCCAAAGGCCCATCCAGGCCAACAGTCTGTGTCACAGATTGGCCAAAACCCAGGGGCCATCAGGAGGTCCAGCAGTGGGGCCAGAACTCCAGAAGCCCTCCCAGTGTTGCCCCTCGAGCACCAGTGATACAGAGCATCGCTGCCCCAGACATAAGAACATAAGAGACGCCAATGTTGGATCAGGCCAATGGCCCCTCCAGTCCAGCACTCTGTGTCACACAGTGGCCCAAAACCCAGGTGCCATCAGGAGGTCCACCAACATAACAAGGGCAGAACTCCAGAAGCCCTCACCAGCAGGGCCAGAACTCCAGAAGCCCTCCCACTGTTGCTCCCCAAAGCACCAAGAATACAGAGTATCACAGTCCCAGACATAAGAACATAAGAGAAGCCAATGTTGGATCAGGCCAGTGGCCCCTCCAGTCCAACACTCTGTGTCATACAGTGGCCAGAAATACCAGGTGCCACCAGGAGGTCCACCAGCAAGTCCAGAACTCTAGAAGCCCTCCCACTGTGCCCCCCCAAGCACCAAGAAGACAGAGCGTCACTTGCCCCAGACAGAGTCTTCCATCTATACCTTGTGGCTAACAGCCACTGATGTACCTCTGCTCCATATGTTTATCCAGTCCCCGCTTGAAGCGGTCTATGCATGTAGGTTTGTCATCTGTAGTTGAGGTTCAGATGGCAGGAACTTTGAGGGAGGGCTTTTCTGGCTGTTGTTCCCCCTGCCACATACTGTGGCATTCTCTCCCCCAGGGTCTGCAAATGGCTCTTTCTCTAAAGGCCTCCTAGATGGGTTTTAAGACCTTCCTTGAGACTTCCAGTTGAGCTGTTGCGAACCCGTTCACACATTACGGAGTCCCCTCTGCTCTAATCTAGCTGATTACAATATGCACTTCAGGGCTCTTTTTGTAGAAAAAGCCCAGCAGGAACTCATTAGCATAATAGGCCACACCCCTGACAGCACAGCTCATTGGCACATTAGGCCACACCCCCATGTTACCAGAAGTGTGGTCATCCAGCCACACCCACCTTTTGCTTCTTATTCTGTTTACCTTGTTTGTTGTCCAAACCCAGGTCCTTTTTTTGTGAACTCCTTTGCATGTTAGGCCACACACCTCTAATGTGGCCAATCCTAATGAGTTCTTGCTGTTGGGTGTGGCCTATTATGCTAATGAGTTCCTGCTGGGCGTGGCCAACTTGGGAGCCAGCCGGAACTCCGTTCCTGTGTGTTCCTGCCCAAAAATAGCCCTGTGCACTGTACCTCTGCATCTTTTACAAGCATTCTTTGCAACACCCACCTTCTGACTGGGATAGAAGGACTCCATTTCTACTCTACTCATGTCTGACGAAGGGAGCTTTGACTCTTGGGAACTTATACGCTACGTTAATGACTCAGATCTCAAAGGGGAATGCCGTGACTGCAATAGAGATCTTGCCTCCAGTAAAAAACTCCTACCCACCCAGTGCTGTCGTTGTCCCCTGTAGAGAAGTCTTGTCCGATGCTACCCGATCCGGTGCCCCTCGAGCCGCTGCTCCCAGCCGATCCCCCAGGCCGGCCAGTGCTGCCCTGTCTGCCCAGGTGAGTCGCCAAGAAGGAAGAGCAGATGAGACATCCAGGGTTTAAGGCCAGAATCCGAGGAAGGGGGAAGATTTCGACCAGGAATAAGCCATAGAAGAGAGGTGTCAAACTCATTTGGTGTAGTGGTTTGGTGTCGTGGTTAAGTGCGCGGACTCTAATCTGGGGCAAGGGTGGGCGTGTGATCGTGTTTCCGCTGGAATCTCGTGGCATCCGGCGCCCGCCCATGTCCCGTCGCAAACCGGATATTTTCGGGGGTTTTAGCCTCCACAGGATGCGCACAAACGCCCACCTGCACATGCGCACACTGTGGTGAGGGGGGGGGAAATTCCAGTTTGCCACAGAAGCAGCGCCTAGCAATTGCCAGTGTGATCATGCCATGCCACTTCTTTGCCGTGCTGCAGGATAGCCGTGTGATCGGCACCTAACGGCATACCCACGGGACCGCCACGGGACATGTGATCGGGCTGTCACACGTTACTTTGCAAACAGCCACGGTTCCCCCCCACATTTTCCGGCCCGTGTGACCGGGACCAATGGAAAGAAGAATAAAGTCCCAAGTATTTTACTGTGTCTCACTCCAGTAGCGTTGTAATATCGAAGTCCAATTTGGCGTGCAATTCATCACGGAGTGGACATTTCAGAAGCTCCATAAGCCATAAAAAGCCATGACGCGTAGTCCGGATGCTGGCTGCCGCGTTTCGAGTTGTTCTTGACTGATTATACTGGCTTACTATGTGCCTTCTACCGAGATCGGGCCCCCTTATAGCCTATTATTTTTGAATAAGAACAACTCGAAACGCGGCAGCCAGTATCCGGACTATGTGCGTCTTTATGTGCTTGGGGCTTCCTTTGAGTGCCCTGCATGGAATGCCTCTCGAAGGCTCTTTCTCACACCTGCAAGAAGAGAGCCAGTGTGGTGTAATGGTTAAAGCAGCAGACTAGGATCCAGGAGACACCAGGTTCGAATCCCCACTCTGGTGTGGAAGCTTGCTGGGTGACCTTGGGCCAGTCACAAGCTCTCAGCCTCACCTACCCCACAGGGTTGTTGTGAGGATAAAAAGAGGAGAGGTCGATGACGTAAGCTGCTTAGGGTCCCCTTTGGGGGGAAACAGGTGGGACAGAAATTAAATAAATGATCAAAGTAAGAACGTGGAGGGGGTGAGACTAGCAAAAACTGCACTTTGAACAGCCTGCGTCCAAAGCGTTCAGTCCCAGATTTGTCCTGGAAGTCAGAGATTCAGCCCTCCTTACACACTTCCACTTTTGTGTCCCTCTTAGCTTGTGAGCTGGATGGACATCCCTTGGAACCTGGGCAGAAGCGCCTCTCGGCAGACGGCTGCCAACACTGTTCCTGCTCTGTAAGTGATGGGTGTCACTGGGAGCCATGCTGTTGCTCTTTGTCCTGGCGAGAAGGGCGGTAGAATGCATCTCTTTCTCTCTTGAGCTCTCCTGGCTCCTTAGTCGGGTTAGGTGGCGAGGCGTCTTCTCGGTACACAGTCTCTTGTGCACGCCACTCCTTGAGGGGGTAGATAAAAGACAGGTTGATTGGTAGAAGGGAAGGAGAGAAGGAAGCAGGGAAAGGTGAGGATATGGGGGCTGCCAGTAGGAGGAAAGGAGGAAATAGTGTGGGGAAGCCCGGCAAGGGAATACAGGGGAAACTGGGGTGCCCCTTGCAAGTTCTTGTGGGTTCCCCATGGAGCAACTGGGTCAGGCAACTTGGCCAGAGTTTTCCTGGAGAGAGGCTGCCAGGGAGAGGGAAGGAGGAGAAGTTGAGGAGGAGCAGGGGGGCAAATAAAGGTAGGCTGGCTGGCTGGTAGGTGGGAAGGAAGCAGGAAATTGAAGAAACAGAGGAGAAGGGTTCAATGAGATGCCCTCCGTGGGTCCTGGCGGGTCCCTCACTTTTAAAAGCAGTAAAAACAAAACAGTCGGGTGCTTTTGGGAAGTTCCACCCAAGGAGGGAGCCCAGCTCAGGGATAAAGTACCTCTTTGACAAGCAGACCTTCCATGATCAGTCCCTGGGCAGGCTGGTTGGATCTCAGATTGCAGGGCTTGTAAAGAACTGCCGTGCACATTTTCGTGTGAAGAGCCACAATTTCACACTGGGCACCTTTCACATCATAGAATCATAGAACCGTAGAGTTGGAAGGGACCTCCAGGGTCATCTACTCCAACCCCTGGCACAATGCACGATGCGGGAAATTCACTGAGGAACCACTCGAACTGTCAGGAAGTTCTTCCTCATGTTTATCCAAAAACTCTTCTAATTTAACTTCAACCTGTTCGTTCTGGTCCGACCTTCTGGGGCAACAGAAAACAGCTCCGCACCATCCTCTATCTGACAGCCCTTCAAGTACATGAAGATGGTTATCGTATCCCCTCTCAGTCATCTCCTGTCCGGGCTAAACAGACCCAGCTCCTTCAGCCTTTCCTCACAGGACTTGGTCTCCAGACTCCTCACCATCTTCTTTGTCCTCCTCTGGAAACGTTCCAGCTGGTCTAAGTCCTTCTTAAATTGTGGTGCCAAAAACTGAGCACAATATTCTAGGTGAAGTCTAACCAGAGCAGAGTAAAGCGATACCATTACTTTGTGTGATCTGGACACTACACTTCTGTCCAGATCACGGGAGGTGGTCGTTCCGCTCTATTCTGCTATGGTCAGGCCTCACTTGGAGTCCCATGTCCAGTTTGGGGCACCACATTTTAGGAAGGATGTTGACAAGCTCGAGCGTGTCCAGAAGAGGGCAACCAGGATGGTGAGAGGGTTGGAATCCAAGTCTTAGGAGGAAAGGCTGAGAGAGTTGGGTCTGTTTAGCCTGGGAAAGAGAAGGCTTAGAGGGGACACGATTGCTGTCTTCAAGCATTTGAAGGGCTGTTGTGTAGAAGATGGAGCAGATCTATTCTCTCTTGCTCTGGATGGCAAGGCTAGATCTAATGGGTGGAAATGACAAGGGAGTCGTTACTGGCTAAATATCAGGAGAAATTTTCTAACTGTAAGAGTGGTTGAGCAGCGGACCAGTCTGCCTCGGGAGGTGGTGGGTGCTCCTTCGCTGGACGTTTTCAAGGGGAGGCTAGACGACCATCTTCCGGATATGTTGTAGGGCTGTCTTTCGGCTCTGCTCCCGCAGAGTGCAGGGGGTTGGACTAGATGACCTGCAAGGTCCCTTCCAACTCTAACATTCTATGATTCTATGTAGGGCTGTCTTTCGGCTATGCTCCTGCAGAGTGCAGGGGGTTGGACTAGATGACCTGCAAGGTCCCTTCCACCTCTAACCTTCTATGATTCTATGATACAGCCCAGAATCGCATGGGGGGGGGGAAGGATCCCCCACCCAGTGACTGTTTCCTTTTTTTAGTTTGCCAGTTTGATTCAAAGCGATTTGCAGGTCTCTCAACTGAGTGGTGGGAGCCGGATGGAGCGCACCTGTTCAGCCATATTCTGTCTGTTCCCAGGACGGGGAGGTGGTCTGTGTCCCGGCTCAGCAGTGCCCCACGACTTGCACCCACGGGGCACCACCTGCCGTCGGCTCCTGCTGCCCAGATTGTGCCCGCTGCCTTTTCCAAGGAGCGCTCATTCCCAGCGGAGCGGAGTTCACCGGCCGTGACCTTTGTGAGCGCTGCATTTGCGAGGTGGGTGGCCAGAGAGGGTGGGGCTCGAATGCCAGGCTGATGGCAGACCTCCAGGGAGGGCCTGGAGACCTCTGAGAACTGCAACTGAGGCAGAGAGGCAACCAAGATCAGTTTCTGCTTTGGAGGGCGGACTCTATAGTATTTTATCCTGCTGAGGTCCCTCTCCTCATCAAACACTGCCTCCCCAGCCTTTACTTCCAGTTTGGTGTAGTGGTTAGGAGTACAGACTCTAATCTGGGAGAACTGGGTTTGATTCCCCATGCCTCCATTTGCAGCTGCTGGTGTGACCTTGGGTCAGCCACAAGTTCTCTCAGAGCAGTTCTCTCAAGGGCAATCCTCGAGAGAGCTCTCTCAGCCCCACCTACCTCACGGGAGACTGTCTGTTGTGGGGAGGGAAAGGGAAAGGAGATTGTCAGCCGCTCTGAGACTCCTCTGGGTAGTGAAGGGTGGGGTATAAACCCAATCTCTTCTTCTCTCAAGAGCAGTTCTCAAGAGAGCTCTTTCAGCCCCACCTTCCTCACAGGGGGTGTCTGTTGTGGGGAGGGGAAGGGAAAGGAGTTTGTAAGCTGCTCTAAGACTCCTTTGGGTAGTGAAGGGCGGAGTATAAATCCAATCTCTTCCTCTTCTTCTTCTTCTTCCCCATGCCTCCACATGCAGCTGCTGGTGTGACCTTGGGTCAGCCACAAGTTCTCTCAGAGCTGTTCTCTCAAGGGCAGTCCTCGAAAGAGCTCTCTCGGTCCCACCGACCTCACAGGGGGTCTGTTGTGGGGAGGGGATCGGAAAGGAGTTTGTCAGCCGCTCTGAGACTCCTTTGGGTAGTGAAGGGCGGGGTATGAATCCAATCTCCTCCTCCTCCTCCTCTTCTTCTTCTTCTTCTTGCCCCAGTGAGAGAGGAGGACTATAAATGAAAAGAAATACTTCATGTTTCCCTTCTCCAGGGTGGGAACGTTGTCTGCTCCCAGGTCAACTGCCCAAAACTGGACTGCACCACGACAGAGGAAGTAGCTGACCAGTGTTGTCCCCGCTGTCCAGGTGAGAACAGATTCAGGTAGCTCCGATTTAGGCCTTTCCTACCCAAGCCCATCTTGAGCCTCTCTTCTATTCGATTTCCAGGAACAACTGCAAGACAGCCGTCTGTATTACACCTAGGGGCTTCCTTGCACTTTGTATTTCTAGTTGCTTGGTTGTTTTCTGTATTTTTGGATTTTATTATTCTGTACCATATCATGGACTATCGAACTCTTGGCCCCACTGCTGGACCTCCTGATGGCACTTGGTATTTCTGGCCACTGTGTGACACAGAGTGTTGGACTGGATGGGCCATTGGCCTGATCCAACATTAGCTTCTCTTGTGTTCTTATGAATTGGATCAACATATCGAGCAGAGGTCCATCAGTGGCTCTTAGCCACAAGGTATAGGTAGAAACTCTTGGTCTGGGGCAAGGGATGCTTTGTATTCTTGGTGCTGGGGGGGAGGCAACAGTGGGAGGCCTTCTAGTGTCCTGGCCACACTGCTGGACCTCCTGATGGCACCTGGTGTTTTTGGCCACTGTGTGACATAGAGTGTTGGCCTGATCCAACATTGGCTTCTCTTGTGTTCTTATGAATCAAACTCTTGGTCCCTCATGGTCAGTATGGTCTACTCAGACTGGCAGTGGCTTCCCAGAGTCTCAGGTCAAGGTCTTTCACATCACCTACTTTCTGGTCCGTTTAACTGGAGATGCCGGGGATTGAACCTGGAGCCTCTCTAAAACTGAGCCATGGTCCCTCTCTAAATGAAGCTGCCTACCTTCTGCATGCCAAGCAGAGGCTCTGCCACTGAGCCACAGCCCCTCTTTGCAGCTCTCCAGGGTCTCAGGTGGAGGTCTTTCCCATCACTTCCTGCCTGGTCCTTTTTAACTGGGGATGCCAGGGACTGAACCTGGGACCTTCTGCGTGCAAAGCAGAGGCTCTGCCACTGAGCCACGGACCCTCTTCACAGCTCTCCGGGGTCTCAGGCAGAGGTCTTTCCCATCACCTTCCGCCTGGTCCTTTTTCAACTGGAGATGCCTCCGGGGATTGAACCTGGGACCTTCTGTGTGCCAGGCAGAGGCTCTACCACTGAGCCCCGGCCCCTCCTTACAGCTCTCCAGGGTCTCAGGCGGAGGTCTTTCCCATCACCTCCTGCCTGGTCCTTTTTAACTGGAGATGCTGGGGATTGAACCTGGGACCTTCTGCATGCCAAGCAGAGGCTCTGCCACTGAGCCACGCCCCCCCCCTGAGCTGCCAGGCTTGTGAGCTCCCAGCCAAGAATCTGTCCTGATGTTCTCCCCCTCCCCAGGGCACCATCTCAGCTCAGTCCTGGATGGTGATCGATATTCCTCTGCCCCCTCCATATGCGACAGGTTGTGTGGACGGAACCAGCCAATATGAGCACGGCGAGGAGTGGACGCCCACCACGGACCCTTGCCTGAAATGCAAGTGCCTGGTAAGGCCAGAAGGGGGCGCAGGTGGGGGGGGCAGTTGCTCCCTGGGTCCTTCCTGTTTGTTCTGTGGCTGAAACTTCACAGAAATGGGAAAGAGCTTTTAGTAGAGGGTTGCCAGCCTCCAGGTGGGGCCTGGGGATCTCCAGCTCTTACAACCGATCTCCAGCCGACAGAGTCCAGCTCCCCTGGAGAAAATAATGGCTGCTTTGGAGGGTGGAATCTCTGGCATTGGACCGTGCTGAGGCCCCTCCCCTCCCCTCCCCAAACCCTGCCCTCTCCTGGCTCCACCCCCAAAGTCTCCCGGTATTTTCCAACCCTGGCAACCCTATTTTAGGAATGTCACCTGTGGAGCAGGCAGTCAGGGCTACGCAGTGTCTTCTCCCCTCTTGGGGAAAGGCTCCCTCTAAGCTGTGGAGTCTTGTGAGCAAAGATTCTACTTGGTGAGCCGCTGGCATTAAAGTTGCGAGCGAGCGATCGGGCTGCGGCATCAATTGGTTTGCTCTTTAAGCCCTCCCTTCCTGAGCTGTAGGAGCTGCGGTGGCTCAAGCGGTAAAGACGCTGAGCTGCAGGCTGTGGAAGGTCGGTAGTTTGGCAGTTCGAGACCCGGGTGCCGCGTGACGGAGTGAGCTCCCGTCTCTAGTTCCAGCTCTTGCCAACCTAGCAGTTCGAAAGCAAGAAATTGCAAGTAGATAAATAGGTACCACTTCGGTGGGAAGGGAACAGCGTACTGTGCGCCTTGGTGTTTAGTCATGCCGGCCACATGACCACGGAAACGTCTTCGGGCAGCGCTGGCTCTTCGGCTTGGAAACAGAGATGAGCACCGCAACCCTAGAGTCGGACTCGACTGGCTTTCGAGCAAGGGAACCTTTGCCTTTACCTTCCTGAGCTATGACAAAAATGCGTGAGCCGGAGGCTAAAGAACTGTGAGCTGGCTCGCACTGACTCAGCTTAGAGGGAACGCTGCTCGGAAGGTGCCGATTCCGTGTCCTCTCTCTTCCCAGGAAGGCAACGCCGTGTGCAAACGGAGGCAGTGTGCGAGTCTGTGCCGCCACCCAGCCCGCCCTCGCTGGGGTTCCTGCTGCCCCGTCTGTGATGGTAAATCCCATGGAGAAATAGAGGGTGGGGGGACCTGGGACCGGCTCTCGACCCCACCCCACTTGGTTCCCCCCTTGCCCTCCCCAAATTCCTGCCGCCACCACCCATGCCACCCCCGCCTAGCGTCTCCAGTCTCACGGTGGGGGCTGGGGTTCTTCCGGAATTACAACAGCTCTCGACATGACAGAGAACAGTTCCCCTGGAGAAAATGGCAGACTTTAGGGTATACCAGAGAGTGTAGGAGACATGGAAGTCCCTCCCCGGGTAGTACCCCAAAATCTCCAGGAATCCCCCAAAGCAGAATTGGCAACCCTACCCCCATCCCAGCTTTCGTTCCCCCCAATTCCCCTTCCCTCTTGGTTGTGTCAGAAATATACCACTCCTCTGGCAGCGAATTCCACATGTTAATCACTCTCTGTGTAAAGTAGCCATAGAATCATAGAGTTGGAAGGGATCTCCAGGGTCATCTAGTCCAACCCCCTGCAGAATGCAGGCAATTCACAAATACCTCCCCCTCCACACCCACAGTGACTGGTGTTCCATGCCCAGATGATGACAAAAAGCTTCCAGGATCTCCAGCCAAACTGACGCAGAGGAAAATTGCTTCCTGACCCCAAAGTGGCAACCAGCATTTCCCTGGGCGCGTATTGGGTAGTCTTTCGGTTTGTCTGTCCTGAACCTACTACCCGTCGGCTCCACCGGATGCCCTCAAGTCTTCAACTTCCTTCCCTCCAGGTTGCCTGTGGGAAGGGCGAGAGTACCGCAGCGGAGATCCAGTGCCAAGCGGGGACCCTTGCAAGCGGTGCAGGTGTAGGGTGAGTTTGGCCTCCTTTGGGGCTCGGCCAGTTCAGTTTGTGTGTAGTGGTTGAGTGTGCGGACTCTAATCTGGGAGAACCGGGTTTGATTCCCCACTCCTCCACTTGCACCTGGCTGGGTGACCTTGGGCAAGCCGTGGTTCTGATAAGAGCTGTTCTCTCAATTACAGTTCTGGAAAGAGCTCTCTCAGTCCCACCACCATCACAGGGTGTCTGTTGTGGGGAGGGGAAGGGAAAGGGGATTGGAAACCACTCTGAGACTCCCTTGGGTAGTGAAGGGCGGGGGATAAAGCCAATCTCCTCCTCCTCCTTCTTCTCCTCCTTCTCCTTCTTCTCCTAATCCTCCTTCTCCTTCTTCTCCTACTCCTTCTTCTCCTTCTCCTCCTCCTTCTTCTCCTAATCCTCCTCCTCCTCCTCCTTTTTCTCCTAATCCTCCTTCTTCTCCTTCTCCTCCTCCTAATCCTCCTCCTCCTTCTTCTTCTCCTTCTTCTCCTACTCCTACTCCTCCTTCTCCTAATCCTCCTTCTCCTTCTCCTTCTTCTCCTAATCCTCCTCCTTCTTCTCCTTCTCCTCCTCCTAATCCTCCTCCTCCTTCTCCTTCTTCTCCTTCTCCTCCTCCTTGGAGTGGCAGGACCACTCTGGATAATGCAGACATAGGGATGCTGGGTGGGGGTCATGGGGTTTGTGTGGGACAAGCACTCTGACGCTCTGCTTCTCCCTCCAGGCTGGGGAGGTTTCCTGTGAGCGGCTGGACACGGACTGCCCCCCCGCAACCTGCAGCCACCCCGCCAAAAGGCCCGGCCAGTGCTGCCCGACCTGTGAGGGTGAGTGCCGCCCACCCACCTCCACGTTTTAAACAGTTTAAATTGTTTGTATCGTTTTGTGATGCCAATGTGGCCCCGTTAGCCGCCCTGAGCCTGCCTCGGCAGGAAGGACGGGGCACAAATCAAATAAAAGAATATCATCAATATACGTAATAAATCCAGGGAGATCTCCCCGCTTCCTCCTGGACACAAGCCGAACCCTGAGCCTGCCTCGGCGGGAAGGACGGGGCACAAATCAAATAAACGAATATAATCAATATAATAAATCCTGGGAGATTTCCCCGCTTCCTCCTGGACACAAGCCAACAACCTTGTCGGTCTTGAGCGTGGAAAATCCCAGAGCTGCAGTAGGGTGTCGTGGCTAGTGCCACCAACTCGGGCGACCCGTGTTCAAATCCCGGCTTCGACTATGGAAGCCCACTGGGGGACCTTGGGCCCATCACAGACTTCTGGCCCCGGGCCACTTCACAGAGGTGCTGTCGTGAGAAAACTGAGGGGGGGGGGGGCGAACTAGCTGCCTTGAGTCCCAGGAGAGAAAAGCAAGAGGTGACTGAGCAGAGGTGGGGGAATACCATCCCGAAAACCTTGGAGGAAGGGCAGAGTAAAAATAGAAGAAGAAGAAGAAAAGGAAGACAGGAAGAGGAAGAGGACCTAGCGGTTCGAAAGCAAGAAATTGGAAGTAGATAAATAGGTACCACTCCGGTGGGAAGGGAACAGCGTTCCGTGCGCCTCGACATCCAGTCATGCCGGCCCCATGACCACGGAAATGTCTTCGGACAGCGCTGAATGTTCAGCTTGGAAACAGAGATGAGCACTGCATCCTTAGAGCTGAATTCGACTGGCTTCCGAGCAAGGGAAACCTTTACCTTTACCTAATCACTTAGTAAGACATAAAAACATTATATTCCAAGATCAAACACCAATTTCCCCTTGAGACAACAAGTATTCAAGTATAGGTAACCATACAGAGGAGAAATAGGACTGTCTAGAGGGCTTAAGAATGTTTTCCAGATTATCTGTGAGCTTCGCCATGATGTACAGTTTCCATAGTTTTTGATGCCACTGTGAGATTGTAGGGGATTGTGTTGATTTCCAGGCTAGGGCAGCAGTGTTTCTTGCTGCGTATAGTAATAAAGACACCCTTTCTCTAAGTCAGTATGAGCACGTCAAGGATTTCCAGTCTCCCCAAAGCAAATGCCCTGGCGTAAGAGTAAGGTCTAGACTTGTGATGGATTTAACCTTTATTAGTATAGATTCCCCAAAGATGAGTAGCCGTATTAGTCTGCCCACAATGTCGACACCCTCTTTCTTCTCTCCTTTCCCGCACCTGCCTTGCCAGCTTGTGAATTTGAAGCACACCTGTACCAGAATGGAGAGACCTTCACCCCTGGAGGTGGCAACCCATGCCTGCGATGCTCATGCACAGTGAGTGGGTTCTGTGCGGGAAGGGGGCTGTGGATGAGCTACATGATGTCCCATGTCACGGGCTGGGGTGCCAGTCCAAAGGGAATCCAGAACAGGCCAAGGTGAGGAGCCAAGAAGACAGTGCAAAGTCCAAAAAGCCAAGCCGGGGTCAGGAGCCAGAAATACCAAGCCAAGTCCAAAGCCAGGGGGTCCGAAGGTCTAGGTGCAAGAGCCGAGCCGGAGTGGATGCTAGCAGCACAAAGCTGACTTGTTGCTTCCACAAAGAGTACTGCCCAGAGTGTGGAGTTAAATGCTGCTACCAGGGGTCATTTCCTGCAGGAGCGCACAGGAACAGAGCGCCGGCAGTAAAAAGCCCAGGGGGCGGGCATATGCAACAAGCACCACCCCCTGCTCCCAGCAGCCCTCAGTCAGAGCAAGAAGCAGCCAGGTAAGCTGCAGAGCCCCCACCCCCCGCCCCCCCGGTCCCAAACAGTCCAGTGGCACCTTTAAGACCAAGTTTTATTCAGGTACAAGCTCTCCCTTCTCTGCGAGGACAGATCTGCACGTTCCCCACCCCCCAACAGCTAGCAATCCAAAACAGTCCATTCAGGTACAAGCTCTCCCTCCTCTGTGAGGACAGATCTGCACGTCCCCCCCCCCTCCAATACCTTTCAGTCCAAAACAGTCCAGTGGAGCCTGAGCGGTGGGTGTTGCCTTCTGACACACTTCCGGTGATGTCAGGGGGTGTGGCATATGCAAATAAGTTATGCTAATGAGTTATGCTAATGAGCTCCTCCACCTCTTTTTCTACTAAATGACCTCTGGCTGCTACCAATTAGCCAACTGCACGATCGCCCAGGCTCCTGTTAGAACTCTGGGCTGGCTGAGTGTCTCCCTTGTAGCCTGGCCTCTCTTCATCGCCTCCTTGCTAAGTTTTGCCGCAGTCGCTCCCTTAAACGAGTCACACATGGGGGTGAGTCAGGAGGACTTTCAGAGTGCAGCACTTCCTTCTTATCTGGGCCAGGTGTGAAGACTGCTGTTGCAGGCACTTGCCAGCGATCCTCCTCTGCTGCTTCAGAGGGGCCAGCTGTGGTTTCTGTAGGCTCTGTCAGCTCATCCTCATCCATGCCCATGACATCCCATAACTTTTAGTTCAGGAGATTCTGAAAGGGCAGATCTTGTCTCACTAACTTTTTAGAGTTCTTTGAGGCGGTGAACAAACATGTGGGCAAGGATGACCCAGTCGAGGTCATTTATCTCGACTTCCAGAAAGCTTTTGGTAAAGTTCCTCATAAAAGGCTCCTAAGTAAATGCAGCAGTCACGGGATAAGAGGACTCTTGTGGATTAAAAACTGGTTGATTAAGGCTGTTGCCTTTGCAAGGGTGTATACAGGGCCTTTTTTTAAAGAGCTGTTAGAAATCTCAAGAGGGAAATGAGGTTTTCAGTCTGTATGGTTTTCAGTCAGGATGGCGAGAGGGTTGGAATCCAAGTCTTATGAGGAAAGGCTGAAAGAGTTGGGTCTGTTTAGCCTGGGAAAGAGAAGGCTTAGAGGGGACACGATTGCAGTCTTCAAGTATTTGAAGGTGTCATGGCTCAGGTGGGGTGTTACCTGATGCTGCCACCACTCTGGATTTAGGTTCCCTTGAGAAGGCCAAAGCACCCTCCCAAGACCTTCAGACCTCCCTTTAGGCCGAATAACAGGCGTGAGGACCAGGCAGAGTAAAACAAGGAAAAGGTTTATTTTATAGGAGGTCGAACAACAAAGTGCAGAATAATAACAGTAAATGGGTGAAAAGAAATCGAATGCCCTAACGCGTCTAAATATACTGTCCCTAGCTCACTATCTGCAGTGGGACTAGACTACTCACCCCTCCCTCAGGATGAGGGTCTCTCCCCTG